GTGCTTCATCTTCATTTTGCAAACCTCGCACACAGTGAAGCTCATGTCAAACTCAGACTCATTCAGTAAAAAAAAAACTAAATGAGCCCAAATCTTTGCATTCAGTGAAGATGGGACCTGTTGAATCTCTATTTCCTTCAGGTTTCCTCTTTGTTTTTGGTGCTTTCTGCACATTCATGTTCCATCAGCTGTGTGATGACGTCAGGACATCCCTTGTAGTTACAAAATGGAGGCTGACAGCCATTGCATTTGCTTTATTTATTTATTTTTTAATAAAATTGATTTTGGGACATTTTCAATTGATTCTGAATCTTTGTAAATGAGAATCACAATTAAAATTTATTTTTTTGGTGCACACTCACATTTCAGAATATACCATTTTGTAGTTATGAGTAGGAGAGAATAAGTCTCCTATTCTCTGGTCATGCAAGATAACACGAAGGTTGTTTACTATGAAAGCACCTTTGGAATTGTGTAACTTCAACAAGCTCAAAAAGCAGATTATAGTTTTATTCTTTTGTACAGATGCACAGACAAGTCATTAGCTAGAGAAGACAAAAGAATGTGGTCATGTTTTCCATGTTTAGTAAGAAAATGAAGGAGCTGGGGTTCAAGTGGTCTGCAGAACAATGCCAATTTCTGATCATCACCCACATGGCTTTGTTTACAAATTATAGTTTGCTCGCAAAAAAAGCACAATGTGAATGCAAATTGCACCAAATGACAAAAGTTAATTCCACTTTTTGTCTGAACCAAACAACCAGACTAAATGGCTTTCCTGGTGTGACAGAGGCTTGACTTTGTCAGGAGTTTTGTTTTTAAAACTCATTATACGACAAACTGGTGGTAATTTCTAAATGATTTGAAACAGAGAATAAATCTGAGGGTCTTTAATGCTGATGGCTCCAGTTTGGAACTAAAATTGAACATTGTTAAACACAAAGCTCAAATGGCTCAAAAGTCTTTGTTCTGCAGTCACTAATAACAGATTGTCTCTGAGTTCAGTTTGTTTCATTTCTTTTCTTTTTCTCTACTAGTTTTTGTTAATAATCTTAATGAAATCCAGTGGTTTTCTACAAAAAAAAGTGTAAAGAAGAGTGAAAATTGATTAAAACGCTTTCCAGTTGTGAAGAATAAAATCAAAAGTTGAAATAGGAAAAACACTTGCATTTCCATATTCTACACATTCCATTTAAAACTATGTGTGTGTGGATTAGATTTAGCATAAATTGTAATCTGGCAAAGAGATTTTTGTGTCACCAACAACAGCATGTTAAGTTTATTGATGTGTCTATCACCTGGATTTCAACCAGGCCCCATATCTCYGTCCATCTTTCACACCACAGTCCTAAATTTACACGCAGACATATTAAACCTTTTATGTTCACAATTATTTTTCAAGGGGAGATTATTTTTCTAAATAACCAAGAGAAAGATTTAAAAAAATCCTTCTGCACTAAATGGCAGTGTTTCATTTACAGCCTGATCTGAAGTTGTATTTCCAAAACTGCGAGCAAATATCTGACAGTGACAAATGAAGCCATTAGCCTGTTTCACAAAGACAGCCACTGAAGAATATCAGAGCAGCTTTTGTTTTGCTCTTTCTCCGTGTTTTTGCCAAACATAAAACAAGAGAGCAGGTGTCGGCTATAACTGCGGAATATAAAAAAAAAAAAAAAACCTCAAAGTGAGACATTGCACTGCGCAGATGTCACCAAGTGCCGAGACATATTCTTTCCCCAAACTGTCTCGTCGATCTTTATTTCCTCAATATGTTTCCTATAAAAATCCCGAGCCACGGGACGGCGACAGCTCCTAGAAATATAACAACCCCTCTGCCCATCAAAGTCATCGTGCTGCAGCTGAAGCCTAACAGCTAAATGTCAGCCGGCATTAATTCACAGTTAGCGTACAATAAGCACTCAGAGCCAGGCCTGATAGGCGATGACTGCTGAAGTCGCGGCGAAGAAAAGCTGCTTCAAATATGACGGATCCCTTGGGACGTGGGGCAGACAGTCACCATGGCAACCTTACTTTACACAACCCCATCCCTTCCGATTGCCCCCACGAATCCAACACACCCCACCTTGGCGAGGAAGCAACCGGGAGAGGTGAAGACGGAGCAGAGATGACAACTTTTACTTCAAAGTTGATGGGATAAAGTTCTTTCCTTTTATGTTGCAACTGGTGAGCGCCGCTGAGAGGGAACGTTATTTTTTAAAGTTTTTTAAGTGCTTCATGGAGGGTGGAGAAATCAGCAGGGATTGGACTTTTATCCTAAGTACACTTTTCCCATCACGCCAAAACGATGTTGGTTTACTTCCTGYTTTACATCAGGAAGTCAGGAGTTTTATTGGAATGGACAGAGGCAGAGATTTTCAGTTTTTTGCTGATGCAGTGGCATCAACAGGGTCCTATAGACACCCATGCACACTGTGACTCCATCCCTCTCCTCCCTCTTAGTCGGGTCATGGAGGCAACCGGTCTCAGAAAGAAATCCAGACATCCCTCTCATCAGTGACAATTTCCAGGCCAATGAGGATGTGTGACCCCTCCAGCAAGTCCTGGGTCTTCC